AGCTCAGGCTTGCTGAAACTGTGTTTAATGCCAGTGTGATCAGAGATTGTACTGGTCTGGAGGAGGAATGCAAAGAGGTTATACTCATCTCCAGTCTCTATTCCCTGCCCCCGATACCCCCATATGTAGCATCACATCAGCAGTAACAACTGGAGGAAAGCACCATTTATATGCTTTGTAGCGACACTGGCAGTGCTGCCCACTGTCACAATATCTGGTGCATTTCTTAAAACCCGAGAATGTGGATTCATGTGATCAGGCAAGTCATAACTTAAAAATATATATAAATAAAACAAGCCAAGGTAACTTTTTAGCCTTATTTATTTTTCTTAATTTGGAGAAAAGCTTGAAAACGTGACCCAAAAGGCTCAGAAACCAGAACACACTAGAAAGAACCCAACATTGAAGATCCTTGTTATTAATATTTTACATTTTGTAATTTTTAAGACAGGCTTATGATTCCCAGGGGTGTTAACTCCTGAAGTTTTCACACTTGGGGTTGGAAATACTGCAGTACACTCCAGGCTCCTCAAAACATCAGCTTCCCTGGACACCATCCTAGAAATTAATGTTTTTCTAGGGAAACTCTTTAATCAAGGCATGATGACTCAGAGTACATAAACCTGGAGCTTCAGTGATATTAATAGAACTCTTATTATTATTATTATTCCAATCCTTACCCATCCCATTACCATTTTCCTTGTGTTCGTCTTCTTGTTCTATGTTTAGATAGTGCATTTTCAGCACAGGGATCGCAATGTTATTCTCATCTCTGGATAACACAGTGCAAAGGTATAGTGTTCTACCCATTTTCATAAACAAATAACATATGCCTGCCCTCCAGAATGCACTAATATCTCTGTCTGACTGAGGAGCAGCCTCTTTTTTGAGGCTGTGTAGTGAGTGACAGTAATGCATTTGTAACCTTTCAGATGTCCTTTTGACATTTGAAGAAGCATGTAATGTATAGGAATTGTGTAGCTTAAATAGTGTATGAACTCTCTAGTAGTGTTCAGTAGGCACATCTACACGTATAGTTAATGTACCTGAATTTTCTGTGCAGAAAATGCAGGCGCATTACACTGCTCCCATATGCATCTGAACACATGCGTCTGTCGGGAGCAAATTTGATACTAACAGGAGTTCAGCAACATGGAGATCGGGATGGGTCTAGTACCTTTTACAGGTTCTAGAAAATGGCACATTAGGCTACTATACTGTGCAGTAATCGCTGCACGTGTAGATGGTGACGCTTTAATGCACATTAGTTTAATGCGTAGTAAAATGTCTTGTTAGATTCACCTAGTGTTTTCTAAAGTTTAGCAGCCAGCTACAGCAGCTGCCTATGTATGTAGCAAATATGATATAGACCCAGCTTGTCCCTGGATAGCTTCTGCCACAATATATAGTTTACCTAAAAAGCAAGAGACAACAGTGGGTCTGACCTCTTCAACAGAAAACCATGTAAAATGTCACATGGATGTGATATGATGTGCACTACTTTCCTATAATCTTTCTAATTTATGGTGCTATCAAGTATTACTTGTAATAGCAGATGAAATATTTGAAGAGAAGTATGGGTTTAAGTACACAGTGCTTTTTTAATAGATGACAACATGCTTGTGCTTGTTAAAATTTATATGCTAGAAAAGGACTCAGTGAAGGGGATTCAGCTTCAAGGGGACTCCAGAGGATGTTATGGGAGTTGTACACAAGAGAATTATTGTTGTGTATGTGAATATGTGCAGTTAGTTAATGTAAACAAAGGCATCTACTAGCACTTGAGAATACGTAATATTGCTGCAGAGTTTGTGAGACCAATGACATTACTGACGTGGGCCGCAAACAGCTTCCTTAGCATACAGCTCTCAAAGGTCCATTTCCTGGGAACTCTGATTACCATTCTTCAGCATATGCTGGGGACTCACACTTGCTCTTCCATGTCTGGTTTCAGCATATCATATTCCTTCTAAGATTCTGGATGGAAGACAAGTGATGACTCTTGCTGCCATATCATACTGGCAGCTCCTAACGTGTTGACTGCCCACACTCAGAGATCTCTGCTTTCTAGATTTCATTGAATATGTGTATACCAGATTATTTTCCCCCTGCAATTGGTTAGTTATGCAAAGGTAAATTCAGTTTACTGTTTCTTATCCATTTTTACATCTCCAGCTCCCAACTGATTATCCACTGAACTATACCACCTGGTCTATTTCCACTGAAGTAAAAACTGATTCCTCTAAGAAAAGCTCCTATTCAAGAGCAGTTCAGAGGGACAGTTAGTTTTGTAGCTGCTGAACATGGGTGATGCTCACTGTAGCTTTAAAGTATCTTTGCAAATTCCAAGTGCATGTGCCGGATCATAGCTGAACCAAGGTGAGGGGGAGACCGAGAACTTGAAGTTGTGAGCGCACATGTATTCATGTAGGCACATGCCCGTGTGACCTTGAGATTCCAGAGCTGCTCATTACTATCACTCCAGATAGACGAGCTGCATATTCTTGCCCACTCTCTCTTTACTAGCCAGTAACTCTTGTGCATTGTGTCAGAAGCACAAGGGGCAATTTAACCTCTGAAGCACTGAGTTTGACTATCCTGATTCTGAACTCCTGTGCAAGCCATTCAAAAGGAAGCCCTGTATCGAACTCCCTTCCATTCTAAGGGTGCTAGCCTAAGAGCAGAACTGCATGGTGACCGAAGACAGAGGTTCAGCTTTACTTTGTTAACAGTGTCCCTTAAGCTTCATCCTTTACCTTTCACTGGGTTGGAAACCATGAATTCGAGTCTATAGGGAAGAAAATATTCTAAAATCTATTTTCATCCCAAATTGGAATGAAAAGGCAACATTTTGACTGTTTTGGAGCAATGGAAATTCTGGACAGTTTTGATTTGGAAACATTCCAGTGTTTTGTTCCATGTTAAAATACAGTAAGAAATAAGCATAATAACACAATAAAAATAATTCATTTTAAACATTCTCCTGTCAAAAGTTCTATCCAGATTGGCTCATTCCACCATAACAGTGGGATTTCGGTGCAACTGTACTTTCCTACTGAAAACTATACATGTGGTTTTTTTTATTACTTCAACTTAGTGCACTTGAATTATGCTGCCTTTTGGCCACTGCTACAACTTGGAGGATTTATTTTACATGACTTCATTAACATGCTGTTTACACTCTCCTAAATCATTTACAAAGATTAAGAAGGTAGATTTAATGCCTGTCTCTCTGGCAGTCACTTAGACCATGGTACCCTATGTAACATTCAGTAATCATTTATCATGGCTTTTTAGGGTTATTGAAACAGTTCTCAATTCACATGACACTGTTTACAGCCTTGCCTATTTTAATTTTTCAAGAAGTATTTTGAGACACTTAATAGTTAATTGCCAACACATATTAAAATTGTTGCTGTCTTTTTGCTCAATACACATAAAACACAAAGGATCAAGTTTGTCTGCTATGGTACGTTCTGCATTAACCATTTCCATTTCCTCCACCTGTTTTAATGTTGTCCTTTCTTCCTGCAGGAATATCACCTTCTACTGAGTAACAGCGGTGGCTGGGCCTTATAGGTTGGTTTCCAGTGAAGGAGAAATTGGTGATATGGAATTTGGGTAGACTTAAATGCATTTTCCTTTCTTTTTAGTAAAGTGTTGTGCAACCTATACATATTACTACCATGTGTACAAGTAAGGTTTGCCAGATCTACATATATACACCACTCTTGAATGCAACTAAGGTTCAATCAATTCCTTCCTCCCAGACTCCCAGTCAAAACCCAGTGCCTGGATCCCAAGGGGCAAGTCTGCCTCCAGAAATTATTTCAATCAGAGATGAGAGCAAAGCAAAAACAGTTCTATGCCTTGCACAGCTATCTGTCCCAAGACTGCTGCCTCTACATGAATCTTGCACAATACAATTAACAACACAGTATGTCTTCCCAAAATGACTATTTGCTCGTACATATAGAAAAAAAAACTTGGGAGCCATACCTGGTGAGGCCTGCCATAACAGTACTTTAGTTGATAGTAATTTTATAGTTTTACTGAGAATAAAAATTATAATGATTTATTAGCCAGTTTCAATTTCCTTTTCTGTGTCAGAGAACAAAGCTGCGTTTGCTTTAATCCAGTTCTTTTGCCCTTCTCAGATGATCTAAGCCTACAACTAGCAACACACCTGCTTGGAGCCCCACTGACGAGGTTGTAAGGTTTAGGAATATGCCTGGATAGATTCATTTGCTGGACTTGGCCTCAAGACCTCAGTGACTTATCAAAAACCATTATCTGGTAGTTAAGGGCATTAGCTCGCATGCATTGCAGCCAATCTGCTGCATATTGTATTTGTTCACTTTTGTCAAGGTATCTTATCTGGGTTCTTTTTAATTAAATGCTGACTATGTCTCTGATTCTGCAAACATGGAGTAACTTTATACAGGTGAACAATCACACAGAGTTCACTAAGGATGCTTGCATGCATAAATTGTAACTAAGAGTTTTTAGCATGGGTGCTCAGTGTTTTTTAAGAGACTCAGAAGAGGATAGTAAAATTCAAAGACAGACAAAAGCTGTAATAAATCTTAATTACTTCCTAGTTCTCCAGACCTCTGTTTTATTTGTTCATTAAAACACAGACAAAAATACATTAGTATCTCAAATATCTTGGAACCTTAACACACTCTCTCTCTCTCTCTTTTATTATTAGTAGGGCTGCTTTTCTTCTTTCCCAGATACTTATAAACCCCTTTTTATTCCCATAAGATATTTAGCTAGAAGTAAACTATTCTGCATTGCTATCCTGCTCTCATTTATGTTATATTCTTTTCCTCTTCACCTTTTTATTATTTTTAAACATCAGATCTCAAAAAGTCTCCCTGTGAAAATACTCTGGATATTTTTCTGTGTGGCAACTGAGAACCCTTGATCAAACTAATGATGGAAACAGTAAGGAAGAACAGATATGGTGACAGCACACAGTAGAATTCAGTTTGCTCTTTTTTTAATTGCTTATTCAGCTACCTGGTTCAAAAAAGTCATTTCCAAAAGCTATTGCCTTTTGGTGCTGATGTAGTCAACCCTCGTGTAGATTTCTCAGCTACAATTCTGTTTTAAGGGTCAGGTTACGAGCTGCTACTCTGATTTTTTTTCAAAGACAGGACAGCATTTCTTACTTTTCTGCACACCACTTCACTGAAGGTAAAGAATGTTACAGCGCATGGGAGCGCCAGCTGGAGCCACTTATAAAGGGGCTGATCTGCCTCAATGCCAAAATGCTGAACAGAACTTGGTGTTTCCTTTCTGAAATGGGAGATTTTGCTTTCATACACACATCTGATCTGTGGGGTTTGCTGTACTGGATACTTACATTTAATAAGTGTTCAAACTGAACAGGCACAAAGGAGCTCTGCATAAAGTGATCCTTTCATACAAGTGAACAGACATGACCTGAACTTGCTCCCATCTTTTAGTTATTGAGTAATCAAATGTTAATGTTAACTCCATCATCCATGGAAGTGCTTGCATACTATGTTAAGAATCCAGTTTAGTAACCTGGGTCCCTGCCAGAACATTTAGCTAGGTGTTTGTGTTATTGGTTGTGTTACTGAAATTGCAGCCAGAGAAATGAATACTCACCAGAATCTAATCAATAGTGTCACCCCTTCTCCAAGTACAGCTTTAGATTGTGTTCTTCTCTCCTTGCAGTGAAGATTGCTTATGGGTAACACCATCTTTCCTAAAGGTTTGGTGGCTTCTGGGAAGTCATGCTGGAAAACTACTGCTCACTCAACTTGTGCTAAGAACCTGTTACTCTGGGGCACCACCTGATTCTTGTTAACTGCTCTTAAAGCAAGCAGCAAAGGCTGAGGTTTCACATAACCGGGAATATGTGAGGGAAGGACAGGCTATATACAACTCTTTTGATCCATCTCGCAAACGCCAAGATATCCTAGCAACTGTTCACCATCCTGTGTGGATACTGCTCTCTCAGCTGCTCACCTCACTCCCTGTAATAAGGGATAGAGCAGGGAAAACATATAACTGCCCATTAGAGCCCCACTCTTCTTCACACCTTCCCCTTTGACTTCTCCTGAGAAAGCAGACTTATTGGTCTCCTTCCTTGTTAGAGAGCTCCTTTCCTTACAGTCCCTTCCTTCATTAGCACACCTAGAGTAGGGCATTTTTAATGGAAGGACCCGAGTTATTCACACTGGTCCCAGTGCTTTGCTGCTTGCTCTAAGCAATCACCCAACTGTGTACAAAGTGGGTGAGAAATGGCAGCATTTCAGCCCACTGTGAATTCATATTGCATGGGGGTGAAGCATAAACACAAAGAGGCAAGATAAAGCAGAATGGAGTCCTCAGTCTTGCCCTGAGTGGGTGGCTTGGAACTAAATGATAACAGCCAGCTTTTGACTTTATATTAACTTCTGTTCTTGGCATTAACTGGATCCAAAAAGATACTGAGGTGCCTAAATACTTTTCTGGATCTGGTCTTGGGTGTTTATGAAGGCTAATCTTACCTTCATGAATTGCAGGGTCATGTTCAGTCTGTTCCTTAAGATAAGAGGAACACATCAGCTACAAGGAAACATGAGGCCAGTGGCCTTTCTTATGGTTTAACCACTCTTAACTTCTTTGCACGAGAAGCACTGGATATATGTAAGCTACTAATGCTTACTGTTTATTGTAAAAAACTGAGAACATAACTGAAAACAGGGGGATTGGAACAGCTGAGTTCAAGCTGTATGAGCCGGAACTGAAGAGAAAATAGATGTCACATGCAAAGTTAGTGGTGGACTTACACCACCAAGAAACTGGCAGATTTGAATCCTATGCTATTAAAAGAGCCCAGATCTTGCAAATTAACCACCTCTGCTCTTCCCCATGGTGGTTTGCAGGTGGCCACGTTTTTCTGAATTCCTTTCCATTTTGAGTGCTACTCCACATTAGAGAATGGCCTGAGTTCTTAATTGTGCTCCTCAGTCGCATCTGATTCAATTGCATTGCTACACTTTCTGAGCTCTGTTATTTTTCCTTAAGTATAATCTTCACTGTGGATCTCCTGGTCTGTAGCTGGCTTTTGAGAAATCTACAATAGTCTTTTTCAGGGGGTCAAACACTGGCTATTTATAAGTCTAAAGCCACATTAGCTAAATTTGTTTGTGTGGATGTTTTTTTTTTGCCTGTGAAAATACTCTGTGTGGACAGATGTTTTGTTTTGCTAAGTATTTCCTTAGCTGTTTACATAAAGTTTTGTAAAACTACCTAAGAGCCTGACACAGGTTATGGGAATCTAAAAAGGGAATGTCTTTCCTGAACACCTGTGATATGGTTTTAACCAGATAAGTCCCACTCAATAGCCAGAACAAAAACAGAATCTTGTTAAAAATATTAAAGTGGCTACCCATGGCTACACATAGTATAAGAACCATGTGGCACATTAGCCACGTGGCAGGCTGTAGAAGAGATGCACTGTGGGACCTTGTAAAGTACACCTCACAGAATAGCTACTATGGAAGACTTACACTACAGCATAGCAGCTCTACCAGACTCCATGTGTGCCACACAACCAGTCAAGCACCCTAGTGTGCTTGCTTCTCCACTTTGCTAATGCACAGCTGCTCCTCCCCTTTCTTAGACCAAGCAATATCATTCTATCACATTAGTCCCTTGCAAGTCAATGGGACCATTTGTTAGGTACCTCACTTCACATGAAGGGCACTGGAACTGGGCCCAGGGCATTAGCCCCTGACGATGCTGAAAGTCCCCCTTCTGTACAAGGCAAGCTCAGCAAAACAAATGTGGAGTTTCTAGGTCAAGCTGTTCTTGAGCTATGAAGCAAAAAAACCAGAAGTGTTAGGTATCTCTTAAAGCACTTGGCATTGAGGGGGGAGATCAAAACAATGAATCTTCCAGCAGTCAGTGTATTCTTTAATTTAGCTCCCGTCTCTTGCAAACTCCCTGCCTAACTGGCCTCAAACTGTGGAAACTCAAATTTTCTAGGGAATCCACAACACCAGTATCCAGGCAGCCTGATTAATTTTTGGTAGAGTTGATATACATGCATAAACTGTGAGGGAGGCAGAAACAAAATAGGCCTTATAATAGAAAGGGAAGTACACCTTCAACTAAGATGCTCCTACTCTGCACCATAATGCAGTCCTTCTCAGGTTGTCTCCAGCTCCAACAGAGAGAGCCCTACTTCGTTTCTTTCCATGCTTGATTATGTTTTAATCTTGAATGCAGAAAATTCCTTCTGCTCTTAGATTTTATTCCTTTAGGGCACGGGTAGGCAATTATTTCGGCTGGAGGGCCGCTTAACACATTGAGGTGAGCTGTTGAGGGCCACATAGGTAGCCCTGCCCCTGGTTGGCATTTTGGGACCACAAGTCCCACCCCTAACCCCTGACATTTTCCACCTGAAGTCCCTCCCCTCTTCTGTTCATGCGGCCTACTCGGCTGTACCTG